TCATGTTTGCATCATGAAACATTCTTTGCACATCTTCCAATCCATACTTATTATTTAACTGAACTTTCAWACAAAGCATTTATCCACTTAGAGTACCATCTGACAATGCTGAAAATTGTGATCAGAGTTAAAAGCACCAAACTGCTGTTTAACTCTCAAATTATCATGACAGTAAGTGATCCTTAGGGAAAAATCATCCACTCTCTAAATTGTTAAAAGTAACACACATAGCAGACAGGRGWAGGCCAGATCTGACATCAAGCTGGCACTGCAGGCTGACTGCTGGCATGACAAGTGGTTTGTCAACCTGTTGAAGACCAGATCTGGCAATGATGGCACTGTTTTTAGGATAGATTGCCACAACTGGCCCAGTTGTGGTTTGGTTTATGTGGTTAAGCTGGGCATATTGTTTTGCAAATCTCTACATGTTTTGTTTAAAATGGTCAAAACAAAATGGTCTTTTGTGATGAATTTTGAGAAACAATAAGGTGGAATTAGGTGGAAGTGTTGAAAATATTGTCAAATAACTACTGTGGTATTAAAGTCAAAATTTTGGGAAAACGACCAAAATGCTTTTTAAAGAAAAAAATGTCCCAGAGTGCAGGGAGGCCTATTTGTTATGTTTTTATTATTATTATTATTATTATTATTATTATTATTATTATTATTATTATTATTATTATTATGTCTTTCTTCAGTAAAACAGGAGTTTTAAATTGTATCCAACTCTATAAGTTTTAAACAAATTTTCTTTCAAAGTTCTAATACTTCTAATCAAATTCTTAGAGACTTTTCTTATTTTTAAAACCTTTTCTAAGTATAAAGTCACGGTATGGCTGTTAAAAGTTTAGTTTTTGATCTCCCTTTTAATCTCCAAATACTAAATGTAATCTCATCACATTGGCTTAATTATTGAAAAAATAATTGAACATATTTCTTGCCATTTAAACTTCCTAAATATTTTGTGATTTTGATCTCACTTCAGTTTCAAACAATAAAAAAATCTACTTTTTTTTTTCTTTTCTCCAAGTGACAATCATTCATTGTATGCTTCTGATACAAGGCTAAACAAATTAAACTAATGATCAGATTGTGTAGGTATGGAAAATGCCCAATTGTTATGCACAATGGTGTGTTAACTGTGTCCAATCACCTTAAATATCACCTTAGTGACAATTAAAAAAGATATYCAGTGATTATGATGCTCCTCTCAGAAGGAAATACAAATTGTCCAAATAACATGAAAGCATATATTACATATTTAAAGTTCTTTGTTCTTGTGTGAACTAAAATATCCAAAACATTGCAAGACTTTATTTCTTTTTTAAAATTAGAAACTTYGATGAGTTTCAAGAATCTGTCTCAATGTATATTTGTTGTGGATCAAGTGTACCTCACTTATGAATGTGTCAGTATTTAGTCTTCCAACTTTCTTTGGAGAGGTTTACATAAAAAAAAAACAATCTCTCTGTTTTGCCAGTAGTCTCTGAACATTGACAGGATACCCATTTACTGAGGCAGTCCCTTTCATAAAATGAAACAATTCCTAAAAGATTTTAAATACAATAAATAAAACATATGTTCTTCTTTATGTGTTGATTGTCAAGAAGGTCGCAATATGAAAACTCACCCCCTTCCCCATTTTCTCAAAGCAATTTTCTTCTGCTTAATTTGTGATGGGATTATCTTGGCGGTCCGAAGGGTTTGGTTGGTCCCACATTTAATATCTAGAGCCGCCACTTCAGAACGGGCTGGCGATCGATCCAGACTGGAGAAGGAGTGAAGACCAGTGGGTTGGTCTGTTAATAAAATGTGGCCCTAATCCAGGCTCTGGAGTGACGGATTATGGTAAGGCCACAGGGTCAGAGACTTGTACACAAACTAAAATTTACTACAGAGAAGTCCAACTCTCCAGAGAGCTATTAACTTGTATTGCTTTGTCCTTTATTTATCTTTCACACTGATCTTCTTTCAGGGAGGAAAACAAAATCTGATTTGAATCTCTYTGGACAAAAGAACTGTCATAAATGCTTGCTATTGCTCTTGTTTTGAACTGACCTACAAACTACGGCGACACCATCCTGTGTGTACAGTTCCCTCCAAAAGTATTGGAACAGCAAGTCAAATCTTGTTATTTTTGTTGTACACTGAATGCATTTGAGTTTAAGATGAAAATATGAGCATGAGATAAGAGTTCAGAATGTCAGCTTTTTTCTGGCAAACTACATCTGGGCCCAAAGGGCCATCATCCTTTG